TGGTGGGACACCTTTCCACAACAAGCCACCACTAAGGAGTCTGGTGTCATAGAACTACACAGCAGTGCCACACTTGGCACAGGGTCACGCCTACACTCGGGCAGCATCCATCTGATCCTGGTGGAGTGCAGTGATGCAGTGGAGACAGATCCTGTGCATGGAACCTGCTAGGGGAGGAAAAGGAGGAGAACCCAGTAGCACTCTCTCTGGCAAGCAGCCTCTGCCACTCACACACACCTCCTTCAACACCCCCCATCATCCTCAAGCTGGCATTCTCTCTCTGCAGGACACCACCAGTGCCAGTCCTGTCATGTGCAGGACACAGTAGGAAGCCAAGCCTCCCTCTCTCTATTCCCTCCTGCAGTCTCCTGGCCTGGCCAGCACCGTCCCATGCCTGCTTGTCTCTGGGTCATGGGTGTAGCAATGCTCCCCTGGGACATCTGTGTCCCTGCAAGAAAGTGCCCACTTTCTAGGCAACATACGGCCTTGCTCAAAAAACACTGTATGTTGGCTGGGCCAACTGTGAGCTTGGCACGCCCCCCACTTCCCATGCCATCTGCACAACTCTGCAGGATCTGCAGGCAGAAGAGAACCTGGGAGGACCTCATGCGGGAGCAGATGGCCTGCCTGCAGTCCCTTGTCCGGGGCCTCAAGGAGGCATGCCAGAAGTGGGCCACTGACTGGGAGCAGAGGAAGGCCACCTGGTGCACCAGCATGAGGTGATGTGCTCCTGCTTCACCTCAGTAATGGAGCACATGGTCTTGTGCATGAAGCAGTCCACCATCCACCTCCCGCATGGCTCCCCTTCCTAGCCCCCTCAGTGACCACCAAGGCCCCAGAACACATGGCAGTGGGACCACTCAGGAAGCCAAATCTTCCTGAGCTGAAGGCAGAGTCTCACAGCTGGCCTTGGATGAAACTCTCCCTCAAGGCCCTTCTGATGAACAAAGCCCCTTAATGTGCTTTCTGTAAGGCACTGGTGTTGGGATGCTCTTATGCCCTGACCAGCTGTTCAGCCTCTTCTCCTCCCCACCCACCCTGGCAGAAAAGTCAGCCCCTTGCTCTCACACAGGTTGTGGTGCATGCAGCAGGCCACCACCAGAAAAGGGATGTTGCGCTTGCTGAGATCCAGACGGCTAAGGAGACTCTGGAACCTCCCCTTTAAGCAGCTGAACGCATAGTTCATGGCCATGCGGCATCTGCTCAGCCTGGTGTTGAAGTGCTCCTTGGTAGGGTCCAGGCTGCCTGTGTAGGGCTTCATGAGCCAGGGCAGCAAAGGATAGGCTGCATTGCCCAGAATGCAGATGGACACAGGGCCAGCCTTAGACCGATTTGGTCGAATCGGGCCCCGCGCCTCTGAACCCGGAAGTGCCGGCCGGCGAGTTACAGAGCTGGGACCCTGCTCCACCACTATGTGGGGCTGGGTCTCTCCCCTGGCTCTGCCCGGACTCCTCCTTGCCGCCTGCTGCTGCCCGTGTGCGGCGCTGCACATGGGTGGGGAGGATGCCCGGGCGTGATGTGACATCACGGCCCATGATTTTTCAAGTCCTGGGAGGCCACGTTGCGGGGCCTTGCTGGCCCCAGCCCCGCAACCACAACCACAATGTGGAAGGCAGAAGGGAGGGAACAGGCTTGTGCAGCGGGGGGGGGCGGCGGGGGGGGGGGGGGGGGGGGGCGGAGGCTGACGGAGCCGGCAGCTGGCTGCTGGGGCATTGCTATCTTGCATGTTTTACCACCACCGCTTGCTCCAGGGAGCACACATTTGACTTGACAAGGTGGGGGGCTGGGGGGGAGTGTGAAGGGTGGAAGGAGAAGGGGCTTGGGCAGGGGGAGGGGAAGGCATCAAGAGACAGGTGCAGGAGAGACAAATGCCACGGGCCAAGGGCAGGAGGGGAGGTGTCAGTGGGAGAGGGCACAGGGTGATGCTGGGAGAGGAAAGGCATTGGGGGCTAGAGGAGGTGCTTGGAGGAGGCTTGAAAGAAGGGGTGGGCATGAGAAAGGAGGGGATGGAGCAAGGCATGTGTGAGGGCACAGAGCGGCAGGAGGGGAATGGGGCAGAGAGTAGTGAGGGAGTGGGCATCAGGGAAAAAGAGGGCAAAGGGAGCCCAGGAGGGTGCAGGGCTAAGGGAAGGTGCAGATGCCAGGGGATTTTGGGGTGAAACAGAAGGGCAGACACCTGCAGGGGAGGGACCAGCACCAGAGGAGAGAGGCAAGTGCCAGCATGCATATTTCGGAACAGGCAGGTGTTCCGAAAGATGCGGGTGCCATGCAGCTTTCTCGACCGGCCAACGTTGATGTCAGTGAAGTGTCCCTTGTGATCCACAAGGACCTGCAGCACCATGGAGAAATAACTCTTCCTGTTTATGTAGTTTAAGGCACAGGTGTCGGGGGCCAGAATGGGGATATCTATGCCCCCCGCCTCCGCAGTTGGAGAAGCCCCTGGTGACAAAGCCATCCACAATGGTGTCCAGCATGTGATTAATGGCCTTGGCTACCTGCAGGAGCACAATACCAACTGTGGAATTCCCCACACTTGTTCCCGATGTAGCGGTAGCTGTCCAGCGTGGCGAGCTTCCAGAGTTCAGTGGTGATACGCTTTTGCATGGGGATGGTGGGTCTTGGGTGTCCTATTGCATGTGGGCAGGGGTGAGCCACTCATAGAGCTTTAGGAAGGTGGCCTTCTGCATGCAGGAGTTCTGGCACTATTGCTGCTCATCCTATAGCTGCATGGACAATGCAGTCCCACCATTTCAAACTGGTCTCCTGCTGCCGCAAGCTGGTTCTCGTCCTGCTGGAGCTGCATGCGGGCAGTTTGGAAGTATTGCACCATAAGGAACAGCAAGAGGTCTGTGAGGCTGGTACTGCTTTGCAGCACACAGTGTCCATTTTGTGTCCTGTGAGGAGGAGTAGCCTGAGACGCAGCTGTAGAGAGGAGCCCCTGAAAGCACACATCACAGCTTGCCTGACCAAGCAGCCACAGGAAGTATTTGCCCTCTGCAAAGTGCTTCCAGAGTCTCTAAGTCTGAGGCAGGCTCCAATCAGTGTGGACACACTATTTTGAAATAATTCTAATTAATTTTGATGCTCCCCGAAAGTGGGAACACACTAGTTTGGTTTTGTTATTTCGGGAGTTATTATTTCAATCTTACTTATTTTGAAATAATTTCCTAGGGTAGACATGCCCCCAGTGAGAGCCCTTCCATAGACTTCCATGTACTTTAGATCAGGCCCAAAGAGTGTACTAGCCTAAGTAGTCCTATTGGCGTAGGAAGGCTGCTTTATTGGGATAAAGCAGTGTATCTCAACCAGTGGTACGAGTACCTTACGGGGTACTTGAGAGAAGTCTGGAGGATACAGGAAGACAACTGAAATTTGGAGAAAACTCAATTTTTGTTTTAAGTTGTACAGCGCTTTATTATTTTTGCACTTTTTAGACTCACAAATTTCATTGCCCGCCCTGCTACGAATAAGTTGTTTAAACAAATGTGTTGCAATGGTAGAAAAAATGTTGTTTGTCAGAAAACTGTAGGTACTGGGGGTACTTATAATTTTTTTTTAAAAGGGGTACTTTATAAAAAAAAGGTTAAGAAACACTGGGATAAAGCACTGTATTGGGACTTTAGATACTGGCTCAATTTTTAGCTCAGCCACACCACTGTCTGACCTTGGGCAGGCCACTTAATCTACCCAGTGTCTCTGATCCCCCACTTTAAAATGAAGGTAGTACTTTCCTGTAGCACAGGAATATTCTGAAGAAAGAAGTCCATTAATGACTGTAACATTCAAATGCTACAGTGATGAGAGCAATGTAAGTACTTAGATTGAAGTCAATGGACCATGCCTTATAGTGTTTGCAGAATCAAACTCAGACAGCTTTTGTCCTGGAGATCTTACAATCTATTACCCAAGAACTGTACTTCCTCAGATCTTAATACTAGGCTTTTAAACTGTTCTTTATGGTCCCCCAGCTTTCTTTAATAAACTTTTTCCCAGTCAAAATATCACTCTGTCCAGACCTAGTCCAAGAAAAATAAAACACTAATGTGCTCTCCCAACATTTTTTCTTAGCAAGTTGCTTTTCGATACACATCTTGTAATCTTGCTCTCTGAAAAAATATAAAACATTCAAACATCAGCAAAAGCTTTTTGTAGTATTTGCAATTCTTTTTCTGTACCCATTTCTTCTGTGTCTTATGGTTTGTTGGTAGCCGTTATGGTGGAAAGCTGATCTGACTTGATTTTACAAGGTGCAGAACTGGGTCATTGCCACACTCTTCAGCATGTTGTTGTGAATGGTTTTGTCCTACACTATTATAAGTGAACCAAGAAAAATCTGAGTTATTTCTGCTATAAAAACACCTCTTTTCCATAACTGTTGTCCTTTTGCTGTCTTTCTTTACAGAATGATTGTAAAGCTTAATATTTTCTCCTGAATGCAGCGGTGAAAGTAACAAAGTTTCTTACAGGTCCTGTCCTATTGCAACCCAGATTCCAGCCAGCTCTTTAAATAGCTCCCTGCTGACTTTTGCCACAGCTGTTCCAGCTCTTGCTGGACCAGTGTACCTGCTTCCTTTCCCCTCTGCCTGAAAAATAAGTCTCCCAGGCTACTCCCTTCTGCCCTAAGAAAAAAGAATCAAGCTGGTACCCCAAACCGCCCCCTCCCAAAAAATAACTCACAAGTGGTCTAACGAGCCTCAGGCAGCCAGCCTTGTATGCATCCAAAATGCCCAAAGAGAAATGTAACAAAACACTGTGCTGAAGCCCTAGTTGTGGTGCAACAGGACAGAGCATAAATAAACCATCTCTCTCCTTTTTACAGCTTAGCCAGAAGGCGCAAAAGTCTGGGGGTGGGGGGGTGAGTGCTTGAACTCAGGCATCTAAAATCCACAGCAGAGCAAGGATCTCGCAGGGGCTGGGCACCTTGCAGATCAGCAGGAGAGGAAGGAGCTCAGCCTCTTAGGACACCTGCAGCTGCCCTGCCCTGTCGCCCCCCCTGCCCTCACGCCCAGGCCCCCACCCCCTCTCCCCCCACTGCAAAAAGGAACGAAGCCTCAGGTACCTGGGCGCGAGGGCCGGTCTCCCAGCTCGCGCCCGTCTCGTGCTTCGTGCGGGTGGGGGGAGGGGAGAGAGCTGCACGGGCAGCTGCTGCAGCTGCTGCTTCCTAGGCTGAAGCCCACGTGCTGAGCAGCCCCCCGGCTATTGCTGCTGTCTCCTCCAAGAGGCTGCTTGTAGGACTCGAGAGCTACACATTCCCTCCACCGTGGGGTGCAGGCTCCTAGGGGAGAAAGAGCCCTCCCCCCCCGTCACTTTTTTCTGAACTAAACTTGAAGCTCTCTCCCAGTTTAGTAGCTCAGCAAAGAGGATGCTTCTCAGTCCCTGCCCTCTCTGCGCTGGCTTCTTTAATCTCTGGTGCAGGGTGGCGATATGTCCGTATCAAGGCCAAATTGTGCCTGTGGATCAATCCCCCTCCCCCAACAGAAACGGGCAGGCCTGGCCACGCGTGCTGCAAAGTTACCTGCAAGCAAACGCTTTTAAAGCTGTTTGTCTATTGTTTCGAAAAATAAATATTCACGTTGGTGTGCACATTTGCTCTACGCCCAGGCAACCTTGATCTGTGCCTTTGCAGGAATCTGCCAGTAAAATAAGAGGTTTAATTGACATCTGAGGAGGTTGGCCAGAACTTGGACTCTTTTTAACCCGCTTTCTGTGTTTTGTTTTGAAAAGCAGAAAGTTAGTAAGCTGCTATGGAACGTGTGTTTGCTCCGCTGGAATGTCTGCTTCCCACTGGTATTGTACCTCTTCTTACTATTTACATCTTTGTAAAGAGTATTACCCTGCAGATAATTATATGTGGTATGCACAGCATTAAAAATTAGATTCTTGCTTTGATGGACAGCTTAGTTATTATCTCTGATTTTGAAAGGTTAATAATATATGGCCTAAAATATTACCCTCTGCTGCTGGTAGACCGAATCAGATGTTATTGTGATGGGCATCATCCCTTGAGAAGGTAAGGAGGGGGGAACATGGTGGAACTAGGGTACAAAGTTCGATTAGTTTGATTTTAAATTGTTTTAAGCAGAGTGGAATTAGTGTGGGCACCTTTGTAGACTTGCTTATTTTGGTTTAAGATTGGCTTTTTCAGTTTAACATAAACTTGTTTCTAATTGTTTTAGATCAACTGAAATAAGAGTGTGCACACACAAGGGCATACACTGGATTAATTATAACTATTTAGGGTTGCTTACTTTCTAATAGCTCAAAACCGAATACCCTCGCCCCTTTCCTGAGGCTTCACCCCCTGCTTATTACATTCCCTCTCCCTTAGGCTACGTCTACATTGGTGTGATCTTGTGAAAATACTCTAACCCTTAGGCTACGTCTACATTGGTATGATCTTGTGAAAATACTCTAACGCAAGAGATGTGCTTTTTTGCAAGAGCATCTGTGCCAGTGTACATGCACTCTTGCACAAGAAAGCTCCAATGGTCATTTTAGCCATCGTGCTTTCTTGCGCAAGAAATTCATGTTGCCTGTCTACACTGGCCTCTTGTGCAGGAACAGTTGCACAAGAGGGCTTATTCCTGAGCGGGAGCATCATAGTTCTTGTGATTTCACACATTAGAACGTCAGTGTTCTTGCGCAATAACTCCCCGCCAGTGTAGACAGGCAGCATGTTTTTGCGCAAAAGCATGCCAATGTAGACACAGCCGTAGTGTCTTGCTTTCCCCCACCCTCACTCTCTTTCACTGGGCTGGAACAGAGGGAGTGGCAATTGTGCCCTCCTCCTACCCCCCCCCACACACAAAGGGTCACATGCACTCACAGTGCTATGGGTGGGGAGGGGTAAGGGGCCAGCATCTGGAGCTCAACTTACCTGGGCCCCATGCTTTGGGGGGACCTGCACGGTCCAGGGAATTAGTGGGGGGAACTGGCACCTGCAGCAGGGGGTCCCCCCCTCACAGGGAGCAGTGGTGGGAAGTGGTGCAACACGGTCCTATCCCATCCCTAGCCAAGAGAAGTGTAGAGTTGGTGCTCAGAGTGGGGATAGTATGTTCTGCTCCCCTCCCTACATGCCAGACCTACTGACCAGTTCCTGAGTGAAGGCGGTGTCAGGACAGGTGGAGACTAGCCTGCCTTATCTCTGCTGCACTGCCACGTGGACTTTTAACAGCCTGTGGGCCTTACTGATCAGAGCCACCAGAGTCCCTTTTTGACAAGGCATTAATCAAAAACCAGATGCTTGGTCATTCTATATCCATTTCACATCACATCTAATAAACTGGTGCAGCTTATCTAAAGCCTCACGTTATGCGTGTATTAGAAAGTTTCGTTGGTTAGTTTAAATATGCTTTTAACTAGTGATGTAAGGGAGTAGTCAACTAGTTGACTACCTGATAAGCATATCGGGTAGTTGAGTTGACTACTTGCTGCCCCCTATGTCAGAGGCAGCAAGGGTGGGGGGAGCGGGAGCCAACTTAAAAGCTGGTTCCTCTCAGCACCATCTCTGCTGGGGGAGGGGGGACAAAGGAGTCAGAAACCTGGCTCCTACTACATTTAAATTGCAGAGCTGCAGCACGGGGAGGGGGGGCATGTAGGAAATGCCCTCTCACCCTTATCAACTAATTGAGTAGTCAATGGAAATTCCATTGACTACTTGATTAGCTGATTAACAGCAATTTAACATTCCTCCTTTTAACCCCACTTAGTTAAACCAGTGCAAATTCCTGAGTGGACACTCTTATTTTGGAATATTTCAAATTGATTCCTATGCCATTTGAGCTAAATGGAAATAAGCGAAATGATTTAAACAGTAATAAGAATGTTGACACAGGCATTTGCACTGGTTTAACTGAATTGGTGTAAATACCAGCTCTAGTTTAGTTGGTTTAATTTTCTCATTTAGTGAAGGCCTACACTTGAGGAGAAGCTGGAGATCTTTGGATATTTTATCTAATATCTTAGTGGATATCTTATCTAATATCTTAGTGGGAAATTGTAGGTGAACATCATGCCCAATACACACTTTGAAGCCACAAATGTGTGTCCACCAATTCTGCCAGGTGAATCTCCATTTTGGATTGATTTTCTGTGTTTTATATTGTGTCATATTTTGAAAATACGTTATTAAATACCTTCTTGCCCTGTGTGTGTTTAAGATATCCTTGTTTGTTTGTTTTATGTATTTTACCATCATTGTAGTATCTGAGAGCCCAAGTCATGGTGCAGGACTCCATTGTGCACAGTACCACACGGTTTCTGATCATAGCTGGATTCTGAGAAGTGTTACTATAATATAAATATTAAGTAATACTTTGTAAAAAGAATTCTGGTGCTTTGGTAAAGGGGATTGAATGCTTCATTATAATGCATTGATAGTACTGTTGCTGGGTAGATTTATTTAAGCTACTGTGGGGTGGGAATTGGGTAGGTAATATTGTTACTAGCAAGCAGACATGCAGGAAAATAAGAGTCTATTTATCCTAAAATATTAAAACAAATATTTTTATCTATTATTAATTTAAACTTTTCCCCAACTGTTTTCCAACTGTTTTTTGAATTAATTTTGTCTTAGTATGTTTTAAGTTTTTTTCCTTATTGCACCTATTTGCAGAGTGTTTAAAGTTACTAAAAAGAAAGACTTATATGAACTATTCCTAATAAACAGATACTGGACATCAGAGGGCAGCATGTATTTGGGGCACTGTTGGTTTTGGTTAGAAAGGTAAGTAGTGTTTGAAGAATTAATTGATTGCCTTAAATAATCCAGTTTCTGAGACAGAGGGGCACAGTAAAAATGTAATTAAAACTTAAAAATCCCAGTTTAACTCTATCTATAGCCATACCTTAGATGTGTATCTGCCACCATTTATTTTGTAAAATAGTTGCTGTGCATAGTCAGCTATATTCAGTAGTCAACTTTACATGGTAGTTTAGGGTAACATACACCTGGAAACCATATATACAGTCTTGTCCTCATTAGGGATGTTAAAATTTGATTAATCAACTAATCCAAGTCGATAGAATTTCCATCGACTGTTCAATTAGTTGATAAGAGCTCTTCCGCTTTGAAATGTATCAAGAGCCCACTGGGATGCTGCTATATTTCAAAGGCAAAAGTGCCATGCGGTGTGCTGCCTTTGAAATGTACAAGAGTCCCAGCAGGAACTCTTGTACATTTCAAAGACTGAGCCTGGGACCAGGCAGGGGACTCTTGTACATTTGAAAGGTGGAACTCCGCTTCCCCCTGATCCCTCCCAGAGAGCTGGAGCTGGGGGAACTGGTACCAGAACCCCCCAGCACCCTCTCCTTTTCCCCTCCTTGTTGCCTCTTTCTGATAGAGGCAGCAAGGAGGGGGGGAGTGCAACTAGTCAATTAGTAGCTTATATCCCTAGTCCTCACTAGCAAAAGTTGCTTTGGTTTTGAATACTTCCAGTAGTATGGTTCTGTACCAGCGATGGCCAAATTTACTGACCTCAGCTGCATAGAATAATCTTCATAACCTCAAGAGCAAGACATAGTTGTCTGGGACTCAAGGATTCTGCCCTGTGGCCGATGGTAGGGCTTGGGACTTGTGCACCATTGAAGCCCTGAGACCTACCAGTCTGTTAAGAGGGAAAATGGGGAAGAGAGTGCACAATGGGCTCTGGGAGCCACAGTTTTAACTATAAAAGAGCCACATATGGCTTATAATAATTTGCTTAAGATATATTTAGGGACTTCTATAGTGAAACACACTTTGTTTAAAATTGAGAGAGGTATAGAGTTTAGGAGCAGGATTGAGCCCTAACGAGCTGATTACAAACACCAGGCTGAATATTTTCCTCTCAGAAAAGTGAGACAGCAGTGGGGTTTATTACTGTATCTGACTTGTGGATTGTGAATTTTAATGAGTGATAGGTCCAGGCCAAAGTCCCATATTCTCTCTGGGCATGTATTTTATGACTAAGATTCCTGCTTTGCGTGGCACCCCGGTGCTAAAGTCAAGGACAGCTATAAGTAAATAAAAAATGGAGGTTCTTATTAATTTAATTATGGAAGTGAGTAATATAGTCATCTGAAGAAATGGGTGGTGCCCACGAAAGCTCAGGATACTATATATTTTTGTTAGTCTTTAAAGTACTAGAGGACCATTGTTGTTTTTTGCTTTTTTTAGTTACACACTAACATGGCTACTCCCTGAGACTTGTAGTCACTAGAGCAGTTTCCCAAACTACGGGCTTTGGGAAAAAAATACTGGGCCTAAGTGTGGCTGCCAGGAGAGGAGTGGGGTGGGCTGGGAGGAGGGGTGTGTGTGTTTGGGAAACCGGCCCCCTGGAAGCAGGGTTGGGGGCAGCAGGTGGTCTGGTGGAGATCGGCGGGGGTGGAGAGAGCAGCAGGCGGGTGGGCGGTGGAAGCAGGGCAGGACGGGGAGGGAAGGGCTGGCCAGAGGAGATTGGGAGAAGGAGGACTGGAGAACCAGCCTCCGGAGGCAGGGCTGGCCAGGGGCAGCGGGGCTGGCCAGGGGAGATCGGGAGGAGAAGTGGGGGAGAATCAGCCAGCTGGGAAAGGGTCGGGGGGAGCGGTGCTGGTCGGGGGAGGTAGTGGGCGGGGAGAACGGCTGGTG